GCGACCTGTGCTGAGCGTGAGTGATTGTGGGTTCTAGCCAGAAGGTGGCTAAATCAATATTTCATCAACGAGTTATTGTAATACTGTTGATGATTAACACCCAGTCATGCCTGTCAGCCTGCTCTTGTGTCCCCTCCTCTCCGCATATCATAAATGGGAGGCCCAACAAATAATCTCTTCTGATTTTGACCCTTTTTTGCCAATTATTTTTTTAAAAGCAATTTATTTAATGGATTTGTGAAATGTCTGCTCCCTGAGTTTGCCTGTAATACCAGAGCCAGCTGCATGCCTGCTGTGATTGCAGCAGCGCAAGATTTTATGAAAGCGGCAGGAGTTTTTTTGGCAAGAAGAAGTGCTGTGTCCACCAATTGCAGGAGAACCAGGGGGACCTGTTTAAACATCCCAGCCACGCGGTATACAGGCTTTCTCATCTGCTGCAGTGGCTTGTTTTGTGAAATACACTGAGATAAATTAGGGACTAATGGGAAATCATGTATACACAAGCACAACTTTTGAGCATGCTATATATCTCAGCATGACACAGCATATGTCATGCTGGAAACTCGCCTGTGCCTGTGTTGTGAGATGCAAAAAGCACAATTTGCTTGTCATTTTCTCATCTTCCTGGCTGCTGCCAAGGAGCAAGAAGCTGTGGAGTTGTATCTGGTAGATCTCAAACCATTTTGCTCGATTTGTCAACGAAATGAAACAGAGGGTGTGGACTAGCATCCCCAGCTTCTTGCTGCTTAAGCAACGTAAAGGGATTTCCTAATATGGGTGAAGCACCCAGGTTGCTCTGGCTGGAGGGGTGTGTCCACAGTGGCGTGGAGGCTTCCTGCTTATTATCCCACGCTTCGATACAGAGATTTTTTCCTGCGTGAGTTAATGTTTGGGCAGATTAATGGCTTTAACAATGAGATTCCATCTGGTTTATTGTAGTGGGACTTATTCTGACACCCTTAGTGAAGTGGGTTGTTTTTGAGCAGCGTGTGACGCATTGGTTCCCTACTCGCAGTAAAAAAAATGGATCAGGACTGTTCCACTCCGAGTTTTTGGAGGGTGTGTGTGTAGTCCTATTATAATGTGCGGACTAAAGTTGCAGCTCACAGTTACAAGGTGTTTTGTCAGTTACCTGTGTAATTTAGCGGAGTTGAGGAGCTTTATGTATTCGTAAAGACCGCTGGTGGCGCGCGAACGGTTTTTTTTTAATTTTTTTTAATTTTTTAATGTTTGCGCAGCCACAGTTGGACTCGATGTGACCGGTCTGCTGGGGCCGCTGGTGGAAAGTCGTTCAGTTCTGCTGTTAACTCACAATTCACCAGCAAAGTTTATGTTCGTGTGCAAACCGTGGTGTTGTTGTGAGGATCCGCTTGCAACTTCTTCAACTGCAAACTTTTCTGCCTTCTTCCTCCCCGTCTCATAAGGTCTACGGTCCTATTCGAAGGCATGCTGGAGAACTTGAACTAGAATGATGATGGTAAGTGTCCCGATGTCGGGTATCTGCTGACCCACTGCTCTGTTTTTTTAATGCCTTCAACGCAAATTCGTCCGGGCTTAATGTATTGCAAAGATATAGGGTTATCATTGGTAATTCTAGTGATGCTGCGAGTTTAAGGAGGGAATATTTTACAAGTCACAGATGTTAGAGTTAAATCCGTTTTTAAAAGAATTGTGTTGACCAGTGGCGATTCATCCACTCTGATCTGTGTCTATATGTAGGGATTCCCTCTCCAGCTGCTGACTTCAACCGTTGTTTATAACACCTGTTCTTTTAAAATGTCTTAATCATGTCGTTTAAATGGGAATTTAAACGCATGTGGTAATTCGATGAGGATGACAGATACCCAAATGGCTAGAGAGACTACAAAGATATTCAACAGGCTTTCCTCTAAACATTTGATCATTGGTGCAGCATATGTTGTAGGAAATGAATTTTGATTAGTTCTGATCTATGTTGTCTGTAAAATATAAATACATGAAGTCCTCTGATTTACTGTCCATGATTTAAAATTAGATTGAATTCCAGAAAAAAACTTTAATACAATCTTGTTTGGGCAAATTGTTCCAGCATCTGCTTCCCAGATCAACACACACGATAGACAGGAAAGAAATAAGACAGTTAAAAGCTATAAGCTGTAAAATACATATACAATTAGGCAATTCATAACATTAATAAGATGATATACAATTTTATTCATCTAAAGATGCCAATAATTATTAACCACCAGTCCCAAAACCTTTTATTTTTTAATTGTTACAATGATATGAAAAGAGGAGAGTTAGCAATCTTTAATTTAATTTAGCTGGAAAGCATAAGAACAATTATTTTTAGTCAAACTAATCCGCTCAGTGTTTCTACACATGTGGTGCAAAAATTACTGGGTAATCTATCAAAAGTTGCATCATCTATGACGGACTAACGCTCCTTACAGTTACTTTGCTTCCCATGTTTTTTCCCACTGGTTTTTGTGCCATTGTTGGTTGCTTAAAGCAGAGCCGTCAATCTTCGTGAGATGGAAGCAGTAAAGTGGCGTAAAGTGGTCAAAGCGTAATGGCTTGTTTTAGGCTCTGAGAGTGTGTTTTGTTTTTCCAGGCGGCTCAATTATATATTCACTGTGAGATTTATCCTTCCTAAAAGTATTTTCAGGGGGCGGGGGGGGGGGGGGGGGGGGGGGGGGGCGGGAGTGGGGGGGGGGGGGGGGGGGGGGGGGGGGGAGGGGGGGGGGGGCCTTCTTACTTGCAGCTGCTGAACGCTGAGAGTGAATAAATTTACATGCGCTTTTATGAAATCCCACCAAGTGCTACGACATCGTCCCAACAAAGCTCGAAGCTGGCTGTGGTTCGACACAGCACTCAAGTTAGTACTGATTGTCTATGTTCTCTGTAATTTGATTCTTTTCATGATAGCACCTAAAATGTGATGACAAATGGTTCATCGTCATCATCGTCCAATGTGCTCGACCACAGTTGGTGGATAAAAGTGTAAAAATAAAAGTAATAAAATTAAAATAAATAAATACAGAAGAAAAATACCATATATGATTTTGGAGGTCGCTAGTCTTGAGAACTGAAAGAGCTGAAGTTAATGGTTCAATAAAATCGCGAAAGGGTTATTTTTGCCTAGAGGCAAGTTTCTTTGAGTTGGTTGCATGAGATTGTCCAAAAGGTTTTGTTTAAATCAGTCAATCCTTTGGGAGGTCCGGCCTCCTTTGATGTGTAGATCTTCAACCACTAAATCCAGCTGAGCCAGGGTTAAGAACACTTATTAAAAGAGGTGGAAATACTAAAACCAACACAAAAACATCAGTAGTTTAAAAAGAAGAGCTTCAAAGAGGTTTGTTACTGGTGAATGTGATGACCTTCAAGAATAAATGATCAGGC